GGGTTTAGTCATACCAAGGCTATTATAATTTCAAATGGCGGTTTTGCCTTTTCTGGCCACGCATAGGCTGGACTAGTAGGCTTGCTACAGATTTTCAGAACATGGATTTTGAATTGGTGACAGGTTAAGGGTGCTGTCAATTTAGACATTTAAGATTACAATCCCGTAGGGATAGCTGGTTTCTCAGCTCTGGTGCTTCAGGCTCGGAAATGCATTTGAAATCTCTTTAGGTTGCTTCCTTTTTATTGCGCTTATTGGGAATTTTTTTGACAAGCTTCTTTGAGATAACAGAGTGAGTAAATGGGACACTGGACCCGGTTTCCAGTTCTGCCGAAGCTGGGAAATGGCCCCAGTACGTTCATCCGGGTTGAATTGTGAGGTCCCCGGCCTCTTTTGAACTTCTGTTATTTGAAATAAATGTGACCAACTTCTCAAAAAAAAAAAAAAAAAAAAAAAAAAAAAAAAAAAAAGAAGAAGCTGGGAAATGGCCCCAGTACCTGTCTCTTATACACATCTAGATGTGTATAAGAGACAGAGAGAGAGGAGATTGGTTTTCCACGTACCTGCTGCGCTGTACAGATCCTGTCTCTTATACACATCTAGATGTGTATAAGAGACAGGTGGAGTAGTGTGAAGGTTGCGGGACGTGCGGGCGACATCCGTGTCGCATCCTTCACTCCGCGATAAATGTTGAAAAAAACAAAATGCCGCAATTCTGACAACGCAATGTTGTCCACCCGCGAACTGCGGTCAGCTGTTAGGTTGTGGATCTTCTGATGATTCCGCCGGTATGTTGTGCATGTGGACGGTTCATGGACCATGTACATGAGGCCAACACACATTTGTTAACGTTCCCCAACAAGAGGCTTGGAATGACAGACACATTGTGGAAGACTCTGACATCAACTGACATCCCTTCATGATGAGAAAATGGGAACATTTTCATTTTCGGCCTCTTTTGAAAGCATGGGCAACGACGCAAAACATAAGTGGAAGGTGTGTGAAAATCCAACCAAAAAAAGTTGGTATGATTTTCACGCACGTTCATGACCCTCAGAGGAGCACCACAACAAAAGCAAAAGAAATGCCACCCAATGGTAGCCCCCCAAAAGTCGTATGTTTCCCCACGCCGAAAACCAAGAAAAACAACACCACTGATCAACATTCTCATCAACGGCGCCGAAGGGTCACACGCCCTATCCGCTACTCCACATACATCGGTAGTGGGATCTCCCTCCAGGCCCCAAGGATGACATGCATAGGTCCGGAAATCTGCGAAGGGAAAAAAAAGAGAAAAAAAACACGAAAAGAAACTGGGTTGTTGTTAGCACGTGTCTCCCCTAGGGCATCTGCGTTGTTGTCAGCCCGTGTATCCCGCTGGGCCCCTGTGTTCCCGTCGCACAGAAGACAAAAATCATGGAGCTGTATCTTTCCATGTTCTGGAGAAGATTCACTCTGGTTTTCCACATTTGGAGATCAATCGTGGAAACAGAGAGTGAGGGTCTCGCTCCACTACTGTCCACTGTACAAAAACGGACAGTCTTACTTCGCTCCACTTACTGTCCACTATACATGTGCAAAATGGCTTGGACAGTTTTTAGAAACCCCGTCGAAAATCTAGTACTGTCCGTGAATGTACAGCTCCCAGCCTGCAAAATTCGTTACGCGGAAAGTCCTTCAAGGGGCTCACAAGGGACTCACCGTGAGGACCCGAATTTCGAGAGTGCACCTGGAGTTTGGGCGGACAAAACCCTGTGGACGTCCTGTCTTGTACTGCTATCACTGTGTCTGGTAGTGAAGCCACGAATTTGAGAGGTGGACAGCGGACAGTAAGTGGAGCAATGTCGCATTTTCCATCCGCTGTACAATTTTTCGCTCTGACAACTGTCCACCAACTGTCCGAAAAATTGTACAGTGGACAGTAGTGGAGCGAGACCCTACACCTCCTTCACGGCCTTCCAAGCCGGTTTGTAAACGTATCGTAGCAACTTTACTGGTCCGCAGAGGTATGGCGGCAAACAAACACGTTTACGAGCACCCAGCCTATTTAAATTTGATGTCCATCTATGCAGACATACCGGTCAGTGAGGTTTCAGTTGCAAAATTTAATATACAGTGTGCGGCGTTGGGTACCTGGTTTTGCAACAGAGGACCCATGGGCCTTGGGGCCCTTGCCACAGGCCAGGCTGAGGGGTCCCTGTTCTGAAAGCGTTCCCGTAATTTTGCACAGAAACTTTTGAAAAACGATATTTCTGCAATTTTACGGCATATTTGCCACCATACCTGCGCGGACGGGTAAAGTTGCTATGATTCGTTTGCAAACCGGTATTTCTGCAATTAGCCCATTTCCCGCCCTCCTCGTTTTGGAGGGGGCCCATACAACCGGAACATTATCTTTAAGTTACTGCCGACCCTGCTCCGACCCCCGAACTTTTTGGAATGAGGCAAGGACCCCACAGTTTTGCGGATGGAAAAGTGGTTTACCCCTGAAATGCGGGCAAGTCATTTTGGAAAGTCGGAAAGTTCTTTTTCCGGGACCCCATCGCAGAGGACCAAATGCACTTGGAAAACCCTTTGGAAATCAGTTGAGCCAATCATTGCCTGTTTCCGTTGCCACTCGTTTGTTTTGTTCTTTTTTCCTCTTTTTTTTTGTTTCTTTTTTTGTGGCACTCTTCATCTCTATTGGCTGCTGCCTTTTCCGAGACTTTACGAGGAACAACATGCCCTCCACCCTACCCTCTAGAGTCGGCACAAAATTGCGGCAAGGCATCTTCCCGTGAGACTTTTCCAGGCCGTGGACTATGAGTTGGACCCCACAGGAAAAACGATGGAAAAGACGTCTGGCCATAAAAAGCGGCCGAACAATTTTGGAACGGTTGGAAACTGTTTTGCCGGGACCCCATAGCGGACTGCGTCTTGCGGCAAAGTGCGCAAGTGATACTCCGTAATAGGAAAGGTCCCCGTTCAGCACCCCGAAAAGGAAAGTGGCCGCATCTCCGGAAGGCGTGGGTTGGACCCAAGGAATGACCGTGCGGCGTCATGTGGGTGACCCAGGGCTCCGGGACCGGGGTAGGCCAAGGGGCAGGAAACTTGCTGGTTCAAGCGGAGGGCGTGACCTTGGAAAGTACCCCGCACACTCCCCCCCTCACTCTCAACTTTTGGCACAAAATAGCGGGGAGATGTCCTCGGGAGCTGTGTTATTCTCCGTACGTCGTACGGAGCTTCTTTTGTACGGCCGTACGGACGGTCGTACGGCCGTCCGAACACAGCTCGTACGAGGTTTCGGCCGGGGTCCCCTGTCGGCCACACCGCGGTTCTGGAGGTGGCAGGGCGTGGCGGGAGGGGGCGGGAGGCTGTCTCCAAAAAAAATTAAAAAAATTGGACTTCAATTACGGCGGGAAAAAATAAAAACGAAAAAAAACAATAAATGAACAAATTAAAAAAAAATAAAAAAAAAAAAGCTGGAAACGAGCGGGAAACTCGTTTTCGGCTCGGTCGGGCCATCGGGCGGGACGGCCGAAGATTCAAAAAGGTCCAGTGGGCGGCTTCACGGCGCAGTGCGTATGGCGCCGTCCGTCACTTCAGGTGCTGTAGTGCGGAGAAGCCGCGACTCGACACGTGGCTGTCGCGCGGTCAACGCGCAGGCGAGAGAGAGAGACAGAGAGAGAGAGAGAGAGAGAGAGAGAGAGAGAGAGAGAGAGAGAGAGAGAGAGAGAGAGAGAGAGAGAGAGAGAGAGAG